GGGGCGGGGGGGGGGGGGGGGACGAGAGGGCAATGGGTGGAAACCCGGAGACCCAGACCCAGACCCTGCTCCCCACCCCCTACCCCCTTTCTTCGCCGCCGCCACCACCACCACCCCCGCGCAGCACTAGCAGACGTGCACATTCTTTTCAAATGTCATATTTCCTTTGATCCTGAGCAGCGTTTCTCCATGTGTCTGGCTCAGCTCCTGCCCGGCCAGCCGCCTCCCCTCCCCCTTTTGTTTTCCCGGCGAAACCTCCCTCTCGCAGCATCTGGAAGGCCCTGAGGGGCTGGCGTCCGCCCTCCCTCCCCTGGCGACTCAGGCCTCTCCTCCCAGTGACTCAATTTCCCCTCTGCGGTGTGAGGGGCTGGGGCAGAGGGAGGGAGTGGGCAGAGGGATGAGTTGTTTAGCTCAAGTGTGGTACAAAGTTTTGTGTAGTCCAAGTGTGGTTCGGAAGAGCTCAGAGACTACTCAGCGCCAGGCCTCTCTCGGAGCGGGAGTTGGGGGTGGGGGGCGACCCCTGGACCGTGAAAACCCACCAGTCTGCCTGGGCTTCAGCAGAAGGATGGAACAAATGACTTCTGAAAAGCACTGCCTGGCGCTAGAGCCTGGGGAAGAGCGGGTAATGTAAACTCAGGTTGCCTTACACTTCTGCCCCCTGGCGACCACACAGACGCGGCAGCCTCGCTCGGGCTTGGCTTCGTCTGGGGCCGCTTTGCCTGAGTCTTCCCTCCGCTGCCCGCTAGTGCGCGCACCTGGGCACAGTTCGCTGTCGCCTTGGCTTGGGGCCCGCTTCGCCTTCTGCTCTGTACTTTTAACAGGCGTGACACGATGGCTTTGGGAGTGGACATTATTTTTCTTTAATTACACAAGATACATTCACCTTGTAAACAATTCAAGCGGTTCAAAATTATCTAACAAACTGTCATAGTTCACGGTTTTGTGTACATTTACTAATATGTACTTACACAGACACGTGCTCTTTTTCTACCCATGATATCATGCTACAAGAATTTTTCTTGGCTTGGTTTTGTCCTTACAGTTAATAAATGGCTTGCAGATTTTCTGTAAGTATAAGCATATCTGAAAGTGGTGATCAAAGTGCCCACCTTTGTGGTTATTAATATAAAGTGACTTTCACAGATCTGATCAGGACAGATCTGGAACCCAAGCCTCCTAGTCCTTTTCCAGTGCTAATTCACTACACCACATTTTACATATCACTCTCTCCTAGGCTTGGCTTGCCCAAAATGCAGAGCCTGAGACAAGACCCAGATACAAGTAGTTTGTGGTAGAAAGCAATCACAGGAAACAGAATAGGAGGAATGAAAAGAGTGCGAATGGAAAAGGCAGAAAGCCCAGCAAAGGTGTGGTATTGAGCTGGTTACCACTCTGAACAACTGCAACATTATCCTACTTGGGACCTTCTGTGGAGCCACATGG